GGGTGAGTTGCGTCCGCAGAAACAGACACGCATAAACATGTAACAGGCGTGTCAGTGGCAGCTGGTCGTGAAGTGCCCAGCTGTCCCTCTGAGTGACGGAGAAATCACTGGAGCGTTTTGAACTGGAACGAACCCGTGTGGCCGTCCCTGGAGCAGTGGGAGGCGAGCGGGGTGTGGGTGCTGAGGGTGGAGGCAGGAGGACGGCAGAGGCGGCTGGGGGCGGGGTGGGGCGCCCGGAGAGTGAGGACGGCTGAGTCCAGCACGCCCCGTCCGGAAGGCTGTCGATGCACCAGATGTGGGGAGGGAGGGAAGGACGATGTCAAAGGTGACTCCCAAGTGTTCAGCCTGAGCACCTAGAAGGTCGGAGTGGCCACTTTCCGAGGGGGGAAGGCCACAGGTCAGGGTCCCTGGAAGGCCAGGAGTCCGGTTGCAGACGCCCCACACTCGAGATGCGGACCCGGCAGCCAAGTGGAGAGGCCAGGCAGGCAGTGCTCGCAAGCCTGGAGCTCCGCTGGGCTGCGACGTGCGCGTGGAATCGCGCGTGCGCTCGCCGTCTCCGAAGCCAGAACAGGACAAGGGTCCCTGAGGGAGGGAGGAGCGGTGGAGGGTGGCACTGTGCAAACGCGTCCCAGTCGGACAGCGGAGCATCACCCCTGCCGAGCGGTTTCCCCGCATTTTCTTGCTGGCAGCGCTGTCCGCGCAGCCTCGCCCTTGTGTGGAAGCGCCCCCTGGGGATTGGCTGTGAGCATGTGTCGTGAAGGCAGGCCTGGCTCGCAGCGGTTTGGACTGTGGCCACAACCTCGGGGCTTGACTTTAGCATAGACATGTTTTAGTTTCCCTAGGAAATATGTCTATAATATTTTAAATTGCTCATGAAATTGAAATTAATTTAGATGGGATCTAAAGAGTCCAAGCTGGCCCTTCGGGGACAGTCTGTTTCATTGCAAGGGCCTGGGGGCCCTGACTGAGCCAGAACTGTGGAGCGTGTGCGTGATGTGCGCAGCTGTGGAAGGGCCCCCAGGCCCTGCGAGGAAGGCTCACGATGGGTCTCATTAGGAGGAGAAACCGAGAGACAGCGAGCTGGCAGGTCTCGAAGGAGGGCTTCCCGCTCTGGTTGTCCAGGCAGCAGATGCGTCCGCTGCTGTGCTAGAGCTGGCTGGGGTGTATGGGGAGTGGGGAGCCCTTCCCTGCTCCCTGGCATCTCATCGCCAACTCGAGGGAACTGCGTGGACACGTGCGTGTTGAGCGGATGTTTTCTGACTGCCCATCACGTGTCTGGGTCCACGCAGATGGACTGGGACACTGACTTCAGGCCCTCAGCCATGTCGTGCAGACCACATGTGTGGTAATGGTTTGAACCAGCGCGGCTCCGTTCGTTGAGCCTCTCCCGCAAAGCGAAAGGTCACCAGTTCGATTCCTGGATCTTGGCCGGGAAACGGAAGAGGGAGGGTGGCAACAGGGAAGGCCTCTCAGGTTGGCCGCGGGCATTTTCTGTGTCGCGCCTTGCCTATGCGTGTTTACAAAAAGACTCCCCTTGTCCGCGGCCTGGTCCCGGAGCGCCAAAGCGGCCTGCTCACCGGGACGCGCCGGGCGGTTGTGCAGTGTGGGTCAGCTTGCCCGTGAGAAACTCGCTGGCATTCCGGCAGGGCAGAGGAATCTCTGGGTGCATGGCTCGGGGCAGGGCGTGTGTTGGGAGGCAGCTGGGGTGTGAGATGTGAACGTGAACGGGCGGGGGACACGCGTCCTGAGCGGGGCTCACCATGGCTGTGACTCCTCGCTGGGGCGGCTGCTGCTCCTGTCTCTGTGTTGCCCTCTTAGAGGTTTGTCACTGCGTACAGCAGAGTAGGCCTGTCACTTGTCTGGAACAGGATGGCATCCCTGAGGTGGCCGAGTCCCTGGTGTTGTGGGGAACTGCTTCCAAGCTTTGAGGCGGGAAGTCGAGGGCAGAACGCGCGGTGGACAGGGACACACCGCCACGCGGCGGGGTGCCAGGGTGCCGTGGCCCGTGGCGCTGTGGCTGGAGAGGGTCTGTGGACCCCAGACCCCCCAGAGCGAGGATGCCTGGGGGGGCGTTGCCTGTCAGGGAACTGAGGCCGCCTTGGAAATGCGGCTGGTGGCCGCCCTGTCCTAGCGGCCAGGTCGGTGAGGGTGGTTGGACCGATGACATTTTCTCAAGCAGGGCCTTATTTATTTTTTTTTACTTTCTCTGTGTCTTTTCTCTGCACTGGGTGATGCTTGAATTTCTAATATTTTCTAATTTCCTGAACCAGGAAATTTTCTAGTAAAATCAATTTAAGAGGAAGTTTCAAGGAAGGGGAAATGATCCCTTAAGTCTCTTCTCAGCATTCCTTCTCACCTGCTAAGCTACTGTGCTTTTATAATCAGTCATTGATAACGTGTTTTAAAAATCCAATATTTGAATATCGCTATTCTGCCCCGGCTGGTTTGGCCAGTGGATTGAGTGCCAGCCTGCGAACCAAAAGGTCTCCGGTTCAGTTCCCAGCCGGGGCACATGCCTGGGCTGTGGGCAGGTCCCCAGTTGGGGCCTTGCAAGAGGCCACCACACATTGATGTTTCTCTCTCACATCGATGTTTCTCTCCCTTTCTCCCTCCCTCCCCCTCTCTCTAAAGATAAATAAATAAAATCTAAAAAAGAATAAATTTAAATAGCACTATTCTTACCCTGTTTTTCTCTGTTCCCAAGTGAGCTCTCTGCTTTCACCTCTGCTGGGAGCCCTTAGTCCTTGAAGCCTTGGCCTCGTGGGGGCAGGTCGCCGTGAGAGCAGTGGAACGCGGTGCCATGTGTGCTCTTGTAAATTTTTTAAAGGACTTAGGATTTACAGAAGAGTGGCCAGGACAGTGCGGGGTGTCTGCGCTCACGCTTCGCCCATGTCCCTCGTGTTAGCACGTCCGGGCTGTGCACGGTCGTCAGAACTCAGAGGCCAGCGTGCTGTTGGCTGTTGACCCTTTGCCGTCCCTGGCACAGCACCCAGCCTGTTCAGCCTCGTGTAGGAGTTTGTCACAGCGAGAAGGCCCCGTGCCGCTGTGCGGAAACCTTCCCTTCTGCAGGGTTAGGCCGGTCGGTATTCAGCACGCCCTGGAGGAAGCACCGCAGCCTGGACACCTAGGGGCAGCCGTCCAGCGACGATGGAGGCCTTGCTCTTGCTGCGGGGCAGGTGGAGCCGGTCCCCTCGGCGCTGTCCTGCTTCCCAGGGCCCTTTCTCAGGGGGTGGCAGGAGCTGTGACGTCTCGGGCAGTGTCCTGTTTCTCTCGTCCTCAGTCTCCCCGTGTGCAAACGGGAGGGGTTGGGCTTCCCCCCGAGGTAATTTCTCGCCCTGATACTTCAGGGCTTTCCGGCCTTGCCATCTCTGGGTCCAGACTCTCGCTTGACTCAGGCCGCTTAATCCCCCAGCCGGCGCTTCTGACGCACCGCAGGGCCACACGGGGTTCAGCCTTTGGACCCAAGCCTTAAAGGAAGGGACCAGGACACTCGATCCTTTATTTCTTCACTGTGATCTTGATCAGCACGGTCACTCACCCGAAGGCCTGGCAGGTCCTGCTGGGGAGCGCTGACCTTGTATCAGCAAAGCCACGTCAGAGGGAGGAGGGACAGCGGCTTATGGACCCCACCTTTACCCTGAGCTACGGCCAGGCAGGCTTTCTGCGGCGGGGCTGGCGCCCTGGGCGCCGTCAGGCCGAGGGCGTGTGTGTACATAGCCACAGGAGCCGCAGGCCCCAAACGCAAATAACCTGCTCCTCTGTGGGTGGCTCCAAGCCTGTCCCTGCCCCTGCCCCTCCCAGTGGCACCTGCTGGCACATGGTAGGGTACTGTTACCTGTCTGCCAGGCAGGAGAAGCTCCTTCCTGCTGTACGGCCAAGGCCAGGCCCGGTTCCCGGGGGAGGGGCAGCCACCTCTCTGTCGGGGGGGCTGAATGCAAACTGCCACGTTCAGGGGTTTACATCACGTCTGGGGTTGTGCTGAGGCTTGAGACAGAGACGCGTGGCCTGCTGAGCCTCAAACATGTGTCTTCTGGTCCTTTACAGATTCTCCCTTTTGTTTGCCTGCCTCTGATGGAGGGAGTTTTAAAGAGAAATGGCGTCTGCCCCACCAGTTTTCCTCCTGGCCAGGGGACACAGCGGGGGTGACCGCCGGGGAGTGAGGGGGGGTTTGTGTGAGGACAGGGTTCCACGCTGGTGTTAAGTCACAGGAAACTGCGGGCAGCTTGCTCAGCCACATCACAGCTAAACCCCACAGCCCTGGCCCAGCTGATCTGAGTGTTGTCCTGTAACCGAAAGGTCGCGGGTTCGGTTCCAATCAGGGCACATGCCTCGGTTGCAGGCTCCATCCCCCGCCTGGGCGTGGACGACCCTGTCCCAGGCCTGGGCCGGAGGCAGCCTGTCGATGCTGCTCTCTCTCCCCCTTCCTATCTCTCTGAAAGCAATGAAAAAAATGTTCTCAGGTGAGGAATAAAAAAAATAATAATGATCCAGCCTTCCCCACAGGGAAGGTCAGGTGCACCGCGGTGGGGGATGCCAGCGAGGGGTCTCAGACGGGGGGCGGAGGGTGCTCCTGGCAGGACACGAAACTGCGGGCGGGGCTGCTGGTGGCCCCTGGAGGCCCCGTCCGGGCCCGTGGTGACAGCCGGCAGTTACAGCGCGTGGGCCTGAGGGAGTGGCGTCGGGGCCGCAGCGCTCGGGCCCTGCTCTGGCAGCTGCCGGCGCGATGCCTACGGAGGGGCCTGCTGCTCGGACAGGGACGCCCCCCGAGGGGTGCGGGGTGCCGCTGGCACGGCATGGGCCGGGCAGCAGGGCCTCTTCGCGGCGTGCCTGACCCCGGGCTCACCAGAACTCGCCCGCCCCCTCAAGTGGTCGCTGAGGTCATCCCGACTGCTTTCTCCGGTGGCTCGCCTGGCTTTGGAGTAGGTCTGGCGCTGAGTGAGCGCTGGCGGGTGGGGAGGCCCGGCCCCTGCGCCCCTCACCCGCTGGCTTCTGCTCCGCAGGCTGGCCCCCATGCGGCTGTACACGCTCTCCAAGCGCCACTTTGTCCTCGTGTTCGTCGTCTTCTTCGTCTGTTTTGGCCTGACCGTGTTCATCGGGATCAAAGGTAAGTGCCGGCTGGATTGTGTCACTGTTTACAGTCGCCCTGGGCCAGTGCTTCTCGGCCCAGCTGGGCCCGCCTGCTCCCCCTGCCAGGGGCCCATCGTGGAGGGTGCAGCCTGAGCCTCGGCTCCGCCGGGGGGAGGGGTGGCCCTGGCCCTGGCCCTGGCCCTGCCCTGCCCTGCCCGGCAGCCAGGGTCTGAGTTCAGCGCAGCAGCCCTGGCTGGCCTTGACCGTGCACCTGCTGTTGGATAGTGAGACGTTTCTGGAGAGACTGTTGCGTGCCAGGCCCCACTGGGCGTGGGGCAACCCAGAGCACGTGGGCCGATGTGGGGGACGGGCTGAGGGGACAGTCCCCCCAACAAGGGAGTGGGGGGGGGCGTGAGATGCCAGGAGCTCGAGGCTGGGGTGGCTGCAGGGCGGGGGAGGCTGCTGGGCGGATGCCTCGACTCCTTGGCGGGAGGGCGCCCTGTCCTCAGGGCCCCGGGTGCCCTGCGGCCCCCCGCAGGCTGTTTGAAGGGAAGGGAAATGGGTCTCTGGGAACCTCGTGAAACCCTCCGACTGCTCGGGTCCTCAGTTTTCCGTCCCTGAGGAAGGGGGTTGGACGGGATGGTTTCAAAGGCATGTGCGAAGCTAGCGTCGTGTGGTGTGTGCCCCCAAGGACTAGCTTCTCAGCCTAAACCGAGACCTGCGTGGACTGTGGACGCTGAGGACAGGGCGGTCAGTGCAGGGGTGTGTGCCTGCTGCTGCTGAAGCTGGTCAGGGGCCGTGGCGGCCGTGGGCCGTCTCGTTTTCCTTCTCGTGAGGTCACCGAGGAATAGCAGTTGCATTAATGACAGCACAGGGCACACCCATGATCTCCCTTGGTTTTCCCAGTTGTCCCTTAAGATTGGTAGGGGAGCATCAATAGTCTTGAAGTCTCCATTCTCACGGGACCTCAGCCCACGCCTGACTCCTTACGCCGCTGTCTGTCTCGGACACCCAGGGTTGCATCGGCCGCCTCCTCCACGCTCGCAGGCGCGCAGCGTGGGGCGTCACGGCTGGGGGACGGGGACCGAGGTCGGGGTTTCCTCACCCCTTCCCCTGTTTCCCTGGAGTGCTAGTAGTAGCCAGCGTTCTCCAGAGAAACGGGCCGGCAGGACGAAACAGAACGACGAGGGTCTGTGTAGGTCCAGGTTTGCCATCGGGACCTGGCCCCGGGAAGCGCATGGTGGTCCAGCCCCCGTCCCGCGACCCGAGAAGCAAGGTGACTGGCCCTCTAAGTTCCGGCCTGAGTCCAAGTGCGAAGACTGGAGAAGAGCAGTGTCCCAGCTCGGAGACAGCCAGGAGGGCAAATGCTCCCGTGCTCAGCCTTTTCCGCTCTGTTCAGGCTGCAGGCAGTGGGCTGGGGCCCGGCCGCACGGGCAGGGGGCAGGCTGCCTCTTCCGTGCCCACCTCCTCCCGGGACAGCCTCCGCGCACACGGAGAGTGGCGTTTCCCCAGGTGGCCGGGCCCCTGCGGCCCAGTCGCGTTGACACTTAGAATTAACCATCGTGAGCCTGCCCCGCGTCCCCTTGACCCCCATGTGCGTCTCATTAAGGCTTCATTAGCCTCCAAGTACCGAAGACGGTCACGAGGTCCTAAGTCTGCCTGACAGCACGCAGCCGTCCTGCACGCAGCCCTGAACACCCAGACCTTTCCCCCAGAGGAGGAGGTCGAGTCCTGGGGCGATGCTCACTCTTCTTCGTATCCTGCAACCTCAGTGCTGTGATGTAGGGTAGAGCTAATGGTACTAAGTCCTATGTTACCAAGTCGCTAATAGCAATGCATTTTGTGTTGATAAGGGAATAAGAGAGAGATGAAAACAAAGATACTTGCTTAGTACATATATTCATATGTACACACATATTCATGACAAAATGAGGAAGTGCTTGTGACAGTTACAGTGGTTGTTTCTGTTACTAGTTTCGTGGTCCCAGCTGGTGTTTATAGCTCCTTGTTCCACCGCCCTTTCCCTGGCCTTCAGCGAGCACCTCAGGTGGCTGCGGTTCTTCACCTGATGGGGTGACCCAGGCCTCCGTTCCTGAAGGGCCTGGGCCTTGAGCCGCCCTTGGACGGGGTCGTCGTGTTCTTCGACTGTAGTCGTGGGGCGGGACAGCAGCGGGAGACGGACGCGCTCCCCTGCGAACCCGTGGGCCAGCCCCCGGCAGCCGGCCTCTGGCGCCCAGCCCGCTCAGGGACCCCCTTCGCTACCTGTGGACTCAGGGGCGTGAGGAGCCCCCCGGGCTGCTCCAGTTCAGTGGCCTTGTAGTCGGGTCCCTGGGCGGAAGTACGCCCTCTAGGGGAGGAGAAGCAGGCGCGTTGCCAGGGCTCACCAGGGCTCACCAGAGGCTCGCCAGGGGCAATACTGTTGCCACGCCCAGTCTTACCAGCTGCCCTTTGTCCTGTGTTTTCCCAGCGCAGCGACCCGATGCCTGCTGTGGGTGAGGTCGGGCCGCAGGGAAGGCAGCTGCAGGGCTCTGAGGACGCTGGGCTCCCCTCCCCAGCTTTGGCAGTAACGGGGAGCGGCAGCAGGTCTCTGGGCTCTCCCAGTGGGTCATAGGTGGCAGCTCCTCCCTGACAGTCCCGTCTCCCAGGCCTTGGAATCCCTTCCTCGACGTTCCACCGAGGCAGGCGGGCGTTTCTCATCCGCTCACTGGGATGCCTCCTGGCCCGTGTGTGAGCCCCCTGCCCCGCCCCGCCACGCTGTCAGAGCCCCCTCACTTCCAGCCGCAGCGGTCAGCGCAGGGCCGCTGCGGAGCGGGCCGCATCCCTCACTCGGCCCCATCCAGCCTCACGTCCCTTCCCCTGCTCGGTCTCTCGTTCCTGTCTGTATACGTCAGAGAGCGCGCGTAGTTTTTTGGGGGGTGTAGTATACCTCCTCTTGCGTGCCCCTTTGTGCCTTGCTGCTAGGGGCCCGGGGGCTTGAGTCCAGTTAGAGTCTAGAAGCAAGGAGGGCTGGTCCTGAGGGCTCAGTGTTGTCCTTTGAGGCATCTGCCTCGGGAGGCCATTACTGTTTTCGTGGGTAGTGCAGGGTTCAGCCCACCTCATTACACTGGTTAGTTTAACAAATGTGTTCTAAAGTAGCGTAAACAGGGCCACTCAGCTCCTTGCTTCTTACAAGTGGTTGCTGAGGAGTAGCCAGCAGAGGTTTTCTGCTTATTTTCATGGACTATCTGTGCTCCGTTTACTACTGGACGCAGAATCATTAGCATCTCTAAATCGAAGCAGGGTAGAGAACCAACCCCAGGAACTCCAGAACCAACATGTAGAAAACTCACCCTCAATACTCCGTTCCTGTAGAACCACTTTCTGTGTTAGGGTTTCCCAGACACGGAGCCAGCGGCAGGTTGGGGACCGTCGCTGAAGCAGCTCCGGCAGGGGCATCAAGTTGAGGGTGATTTGTTTCAGAACAAGTGCAGTTCACAATTAAATTGGAACCAGATTCACAGTGTTTCCTTGGATTACTTCTTTTAAGGCCAAAGCTCTAAAGAATTAGTGTAAGAAGCTATGAAGCTTCTATATCTGTTATTTCAGGAAAAACCTTAGGTATAGTGTTTTTTAGGTAAAAAGCCTTAGCAATATATTTTTTAAATATTCTCTGCTTGATACATATTTTTGGAAGACTGGATTCATTGGATGAATAGATGAATGTGTCTTCATTTTCAGCAGTAATCTTGGTGGTTTATAAACTAGACAGAAGCTAGTTGCAAATGACAGCTTCCTGGCTGTGCAGCACACAGAGAGCCCTAGCACAGGGCAGCAGAGGGGTTCTGCGCAGGCGGACAGCGCATTTCGTGTGCGTGGCGTGACGGTCCCATTGGATCCACCTGCATCGGGGAGTCACGATGTGTCGCAGAGCGGACATTGTGTGTCTGCATTTGTGTGGTTCCGTGTCTTACGTAGATGTGAAACCTCTAAGACAGACCAAGAAAATGAGATCACCTCCATGTAATGTATGTCTTTGTTGGCATCTGGAGAAAAACCCACTAAATTAATTATCCATATAGACTGTAACCTACTTTTTTCCTTCTCTGTTACACTTTAGGGCCCACAGTGATCCAGACTTCAGAAGTTTATGTTCCACAAAATACGAGCGAACAGGTAAGACCGGGTCTGAGTGGCAGACGACAGGGCATGGAAACTTCCAGGTTCCCTCGGCAATGGCCCTGCTTTCAGGGGTCCTGCCCCCGTTGGCTGCTCTGGCCACGTGTATCACTAACTCCACTGTGGGCAGCAGGCGTCTGGGTCCTCGGCTGCTGAGAGAGGGAGGCGGTGGGCATGCTTAGGGGGCGGCCGCTCATCTCCAAAGGCCAGTGCCGCGCCCTGACTGGGAGCCCTACAGCCAGCACGTGCCTGCACTTGTCCAGGTCAAGTCGTGGCCTCCGCGTTTGCGTTCGAGCAGTAACGGTTCCTTCTAAGGACTGGCATTCTTTGCACGAACTCAGTGTAAATGAAATATCCTTTTTTATTTTCGTTTTTAATTTTTCTTGATTCTTCACTGTCTTTAGAGAAAAATAAAAGTCCTTCCAACTAGAGAGTTATGCTATTCTTTAATAAATACTAGCTTGTGAGACCCAAACAGAGAAACCCACTTCTGCATATCAAACATAATTGTCTGTAAACGGGACATGCCTGTCTTGCACTCTCACGGCACCGCAACGTGTGTGGTTTACCTCGGATTCTCTGACCTTGAAGATCCCCTTGACTCTTCTCCCAGCTCCCTGCTACGTTTCCATCCATACAGTTTTCACAAGGGCAAAAGGAGAAAAATGTCCTAAAACTTGCACCTGTTAATTCTCCTTTTTGTCCCTACCAGCTTGAAAGGACCCCTATGTAGCCTGTTTTCTTGACATTTCCTTATTTCCTTTGCCTCTGAGCCTGAGCATCTGATTTGAAGAGGTGCAGCCATGGGGTTTCCTGGCTGCAGTTTGATCTTTTCGATGTTCTGCCTCCCCAGGTGTCAGTCCTTTTGACCCTGGACGTAGCAGCCGTCCCGCAGAGCTGACTTGCTTCCAAAGGCTCATCCTCCCTTCTGAAAGATGACCGATTATCCTGCCATAGATTTTGTCGTGTAGGTGGCTTTGGGGCACGCCTTTGGTCACAGAGTTTCATGGAGGCGTCACAACACAGGAAACACGCGTGGCATTCAAAGACTGTGCGTGCACATGGTGCTTTTCTGTGGAACTGCAGGTGGGCTGCTTAAGCCGTTTTCTCCGTACCCCGCTGCCTTTAGACAGCAGCATTGTGTTTTCAACAGACATTACAGGAGTATCGTCGGCAACGTGGTCCCCTCTTATTTTTTCCCCAAGGGTGTTAAGATTTCTCTAAAGCTAAAAATAGCCATCAAACAGCAACCTCTCTGGCATATTGATACTAAGTCAAGATTCTTGTGAATCTCTTCCTTTCGCGTCCTTACTACCTTATTACGTGTCTCCGCATGCGCCCTTTCAGTGTTTGTCTCCAGGACGGCCTTTTCTCGGTGTTTAGGTGGGGGTGTCGCTGCGGGTGGCGGGAGTGCCTGCAGAGAGGGTGTCGTGAGAGGCAGAAGGGGATTGTAGCAGAGAGTCAGTCCCTCCTTGTTCGGGAAGGCGGAATTTCACTTAACCTTACCAAAAGGAAAGCTGAACTGTTCCAGCACTGATGCCCAAAGCTTTTTGCTAAATGTAAATTTTGCATGTTAAGGTGAGTTCTTTGGTAGATGCAGTGGAAAGGCCACATGGGCGACTTGACTTCCTTTTTCTTTTTCCTTCAGCTGAAGGCAATTGAAGTGCATTCGAACCCACTGTCTGCATACAATCAGCAGCTGTGGCTGACCTGTGTTGTTGAGTTGAACCAGTCACAAGGTATGAAGCCTGGCATTTGCTCTGATTTTTCTTTGTACAAAGCACTGTATTTTAAAAGTTGAAAGAGCTTTAAAATCCTTAACAGGTTGTCAAAGGTGGGTTACAAGGATGGTCTTTATTCTTTAGGGTAGCAGCCGACGGGCAGCCCCGTAAACGTTCCCCGTTGCCCTCCCGAGTAGGCTGTGATGCAGCCCTCGGGGAGCGCCGGCCAGCGCCACTTGGTGGCTGCGTGGCGTAGGTGCTGCTGCGGCGGCTTGTCTCAGGGGGGTTCTGGAGAAAAGTCCTGATGCCCCGCAGCAGTGCATCTGCCCCCCAGCGGTACTCGGCGACGTCTGGAGACATGTGATGTTTGACGGTCTCGCTGGGGAGGAGAAGCGACTGGGGTCTGGCGGGGCGGGGCCGGGGGGGCCTGCTGCTGAGCGCTGTGCGATCATTGCACCAGACAGGCCCCCAGCCAGGACTCCTGTGGCCTCAAAATGTCAGGGGCGCCGAGGCCAAACACCCTGCCCCGAAGCGTCTCTAGTTTATAACGAGTTGGCTCCGTCCGCCTGGGGCGGCACCGGGTCTGTGCGTCCCGGGAGGACCAAGGCGGTGGCCACTTGCGTTACCTCCTGTGCTCTGTGATTCGGGTAAGACGCTTCGGTTGGGACAGAATGTGGAAAGAACCCTAGACCACAGTAAATGCAGTGAAAAAAGGCGTATTAGAAAACATCAGCCCCTTTGTCGGTGACATTTGAAGAAGATAAATAAATTTGATGTCAGCTGTGTATGTATGTGTCTAGAAAATTGTCTGGGGCTTTGGGCACGTATGTGGCAACTCTGGTTTCTCTTGGTGGCGGGGTTGGAGGGTTTAATGCCATCTCTGCAGTGCTTTTCCTCTGGTTTTTTAAAACAATGAGCATGTCATCAGAAAAATTATATATCAGAAAAAATACTGCAAATCTTTTTTAATATTGGTATAAAGTTATATTAAAAATGTATGTGGGAAATAAAAAAGACTCTATTAGCCATGAAATGTTTGTCCGTTGGGGAGGTGAGCCGACGGGTCTGAACCCAGGCTCTGACGGGTCCGGCGGGGCGGGGGGGCTGCGCAGGGCAGGCGGACAGGCTGTCACAGAACCAGGCGGGCGCCTGTGTCATGTGACGTGCCTGGCCTGGTCCCTGACGCTGGCTTTCTTTCTTTTGTAGAAACGTCTATTGCGACAAACTTTTCCATGACTGTCAAAGTCGATGGTGTGGCTGAAGATGGAACCACCAAGTTCATTCATAACAAAGCTCACAATCGGACGAGGACCCTCACATGTGCGGGGGTGAGCGCGCTGGCGGGACCCGTGATCACTCCTCACGCCCCACCCCCCAGACTCACTTTCTTAAGTACAAAATTCATGCCAACGATGGTATGGAAAATGCATGTCACTTTACCTACTGACACCGTTATAAATGCTTAGTAACACACACGTGCATGCACGCAAGCACAGACATACACGTGCCCAAACACAGCACACCTAACACGTGTGCACACCGCACACCCTGAGTCTGCCTGACACCTGCTTTCTCGGGTTGTGTAGCTTGCGGCCGGGCGTGTCCCTCGGGGATGCTGACGAGCCGCCTGCTGCACGTGGGGGCTGCTGTTCCGTGGCCATTTTTGATCCCGGCCGCTGGGTGGTTTCCAGCCGTGCGATGCACGCCCTGATTGGTCCAGGGTCCGAGAGCCAGGCCTCTCGGGAAGTGACCTGCTCTTGAGCATCTGTTTCAGGTGTGGTATGTGGCTATGGGATCGGAAGCCTGATGGCCCAGACTTGGTCAGCACTGTGTTCTGTCACAGCTGGAAGGACCAGGCTGGGTCGCTGCTGGAGCGAGGCCGTGCCATCAGGACGGCATGGCGGCCTGGAGAGCGCGGGGGGCAGGGAGGGTGGGGGCGCCAGAAAGAGCCTACGTTTACGTCCAGGCGCGGCCTCATGCCAGGTGCTCTCAGACAGCACCTCCGCCAGCCCTCCCGGCAGGTGCCTGGGCGGATCTGTTACTCGGCCCGTTTTATGTATGAAGCACCTGAGGCTCGGCCAGGTCAAAGCCCTGGATCAGAGGGGCGCAGGGAGTGAGGGAAGGGTGCACCCTCGGCGCCCATGCACACGCCTCGCCAAGAGCGTGGAGACCCCTTGCCCGGCCCTCTGGCAGGGGTGCAGTGCAGTGGGGGGCGCCTGCTCAGCGATGGGCCCTGGCCGGGGTCGCTCTGGGGACGGGTCAGAACCCTGGCCTGAGGGGTGGGGTTGTTGGGGGGGGCTGCAGGGCCTCCCTCTCCCGGCCGAGTCAATGCCTTGTCCCCCCTCCGCCGTCCCCCCGCTGTTCCCCGCCCCCACCGGAGCGAGCGGCCCTGCCGGGCCAGGCTATTAGGCGGGCCATGCGGCTGCTGTGACGGATGCACCGCTCTCGTCCGCCTCTGCTGACACCGTGAGCAGGGCCGGGCTGCTCTGACGTGTAGTTTCAGCGTCAGCAGGTGGGGTTCCACCGTGCCCCCCCACCGCCTGTCTGTGGAAGGAGGGGTCAGGCTGAATGCCGGACGGGAGCGCGCAGTGCCTGTGCCCGTGGGAGGCATCCACCCCGCCCCGCGTGCCTGTATACAGTAGGTGCTCCACGGGGCTGCGGAGCAGGCGGGGTCACGCAGGTGTGGCCTCTGAGAGGACCACTGCTGCGTCCCCAGGCAGATGGCCGAGCAGGTGATGCACAGGTTGTCCGTGACTTTGCCCTGAGGCTAGCGTGACCGATCTTGCTGGTTTATCTGGAACCAAAGGGAGCCCCAGCACATGGGACTGGGACGAGTTGGCTGACCCCGCGAAGCCAGTGCCTTGGCTAGAGCCAGGCTGCACACGAGGCCACTTGTCTCTATTGCTCCTTCTCGGAAGCGTCCGCCATACTGGGCACCTTGCCAGTGGTCCTTCGTGCATTTGCGTGGTTTCTCCCCTTTTCTATCGGTGGCCCTGTTCCAGTTACACTGGGGCACCATGGGGGACTTCTCCTTCTGTGGTCTCTCTCTGCTCAAGTTTGTCTCTGTAACTCTGACCTAAAAAAAAGATGGAACTTTTATGTCACAGAGATTGTGACCACCCGTCCACATTACCTCTTTTGTTGTTTAGAAGAAAAACACTGTCTGCCTCAGGGAGCAAGGTGGCCAGCCCCCACAGGTGCGAAGGCTGCCACTCTGACGAAGGGATCGTCAGAGGGGCTTTGTAGTCAGCGCACGCGCCACCGCTTGAACTTGGGGCCCCAAAGCCTCAGGGGGGCTTCGCTGTAGCTCTTTAAACCTGAAGATACGTCCAGCCTGACATGGAACTCTTTTGTTAGTTGAAACATCCCTCTAAATCCAGACAAATTCTTAACTTGTAAGAAGTGCTTATCTGCGGAGCACAGATGCATTCGCTAATGTAAACCTCCCCGCCACGCAGAGCACTCCGCTGTCCCTCCCCGCACACCCCTGTGCCCCAGGGTTGGAGATGGAGGTGGATTTGCTGCTGTTGAGACCTGGCCCCACGCTCACATGCCCTGCGAGCAGGAGGCCGGTACCCACGAGGAAAGTTGATGGGGCGGGAGAGAAGCCGCAGCGTGGTGCCATGTGAATAGCCACTGACACGTGTGTCAGCCGTGGGAGGGCAGGGCCTGGGCCTCGGGGAGCTCCTGCCCTTCCCCAGGCCCGTCACAGTGGGCTTCGGCACAAGCCCGGCGTCTCTAGGTGGCCTGAGGGTTCTGAGAATTTTGGGCTTGTACCTTCACGCCGTCTTCATGGCGCGCGCACTCGCCTTCCCGTTCCTTGGGGCGGCACGCAGCTCTGTTTTCCTGCCCTGCCCTCAGCCATCCCTGGCTCGAGGAGCCTTTGATTGATCAGCAGGAGGGGTGACTGTGCCCTGGTCAGAGCCACAGTGCCAGCAAGTGCCACCTGGAAGGCCAGAGGGCTGCCCGTAGGTTCGGGGCGGACAGCGCCTTCTGTCAGATGCCGGGACGTTCCGGAGGAGCATGCTGGCCGCCCGCATGGCTGGGCAGAGGTTTGTGGTGGGGGTCTCCGCCTGCCCGGGCACCAGTGCACATCTGTGTTCCCCTCGTGCCCCGAAAGGAGCCCTGAGGAGACCCGATTCTTAATTCTAAAGGAGAGAAGCAAGGGGCCCTCGGTGGAGACCTGAGCACACAGTCAGCACAAGCCCACTAGCTGTCGTTCATGCAGCCTCCGCCGCTGGTGCACCGGGACTGACGGAAGCTGCAGGCAGCCTTGTCAGGAGCGGCAGGCAAGGGGCAGGGGCAGAAGGGAAGGCGCCCATTGCACCCACGGCAGCTGCAGAAGGGGGCCCAGGAGGCAAGGGAGCCGATGGTCCGGCTGGTTGTGTTGCAGCCGCGTTCCCCACGCATGAGCGTGTCTGTGGGAGGACTCAGGCTTGGGCTAGCCTGGAAGCTTTCTTAGGCAGCTGCATACTATGCTGAATCATCCCAAGTAGAGTCTAAGGACTGTAAGTCATTTTTGTTTATTTCTAAAAATACCCACTTGGGTCCTCCTTTCTAAGCGCTGTGTGTGGCCGGCACCTGCCTTTGTCTGGGCTTCTGCTGGGTTCCCTGGAGACGGTCATTTCGGATCGTCTGTGGGTGGCACGTGTCACTTCACGGTCACTTGGAGGGAGAGGGAGTCTTGTTTGCTTTAAAGACTTGGTGCTTCCTATGCGTTTGCAGACGTGTGCAGAAATGATCGTGGCTCACCTCGGCTACTTGAACTACACGAAGTACACAGTGATTGTGGGATTTGAACACCTGAAAGTGCCCATCAAGAAAGTCAACTTCACGGTAAGCGCACAGCTGGCCCCGCCGTTTCCATGGCCCCTTCGTTTTGCTCCCATTCCCCTGCTCAGTGATTGAAATAACACAGCATCAAAGTTATTTTATTTTGGATAGTGGGAGACGTGCAGTTTGAAAAAGTTGAGGGAAATCACAATTTCTTTTTTTTTTTTAATTTTTTAATTACAGATGACATACAATATTATATTGTTTTCGGTTTCCAATCCAGAGATTAGATATTTATATAACTTATGAAGTGATCACCCCGATAAATCTACTACACGTCTGGCACAACGCACAGTCACTACAGTACAGGGTGGGGCAGAAGTAGGTTCGCAGTTGTCCGTATGGAAAAACAGCAATACAAGAATTGTGTTGTGTGTACTCCCAACTGTAAACCTACTTTTGCCCCACCTTGTATCACTCACTATCTATTCCCTGTGCTGTACTCAGCATCCCTGTGGCGATTCTGTAACTACCGATTCGTGATTCTTAATCCCAGCCTCTCCCCTCGGCAACCGCCAATGTGTTCTCTGTATCTATGAGCCTGTTTGTCTGTTCTGCTTGTTCATTTATTTTGGTTTTTAGCTCCCGCCTGGTACAAGGGAAATCCCCTGGCGTTTGTCTTTCTCTGAATTACTGCACCCAGCACAGCACCCTGTAGGCCCATCCGTGTTGTTGCAGATGGCAAAGTTTTATTCTTTTGTTTATGGCTGCGTTATATTCTCTTGCATATATGCACCACTTCTTTATCCCCTCATCTGTTGATGGACAAGTACGTGGCTTCCATACCTTGGCTACTGAGAATAATGCTGCAATGAACATATGGATGTATATGTCTTAGATTTAGTGTTTTGGATTTCTATAGATAAATACCCAGAAGTGAAATTGCTGGATCCTTCTTGTCTCTTGTTATAGTCTTTGTTTTGAAGCCTATTTTATCTGGTATAAGTACTGCTACCCCAGCTTCCCCTCTCCCCTACCCCCATTTTCATGAAATATCTTTTCTCATCCCTTTACTGACAGTATGTGTGTTTCTTCCAATCTGAAGTGAGTCTTCTGTAGACTGCACATGTGAGGGTCTTGTTTTCTCATCCATTCTGCCACTGTATGTCTTTTGATTGAAGAATTTCATCCATTTACATTTAAAGTAATTGTTAGTAGAATAGACTTCTCCAAGGAGGACGTACAGATGGCCCATAGACATGTGAAAAGATGCTCAACTTCACTAGCCATCAGAGAGACGCAAACTAAAACCACAATGAAATATCACCTCACACCTGTCAGAATGGCCATCATCAATAAATCAGCAAAAAACAGGTGCTGGTGCAGATGTGGAGAAAGGGAACCCCAGTGCACTGTTGGTGGGGATGCAGACTGGTGTGGCCACTGTGCAGAACAGTGTGGGATTTCCTCAAAAAATTAAAAATGGAACTCCTTTTGATGCGGCAGTTCCATTGGTGGGACTGTATCTTAAGAATCCTGAAACACCAGCTCAGATGAACTTTTGCACCTCTGTGTTCATAGCGGCGTTGTTTACAGTAGCCAAGTGCTGGAAACAGCCTAAGAGCCTATCAGTAGATTAATGGATAAAAAAACTGTGGGACATTTACACAATGGAATACTATGTGGAAGGAAGGAAGGAAGGAAGGAAGGAAGGAAGGAAGGAAGGAAGGAAGGAAGGAAGGAAGGAAAAAGAAAAGAAAGAGAGGTCCTGCCTTCTGTGACAGCAGGGATGGAACTGGAGGGCATTATACTCAGTGAAACAAACCAGTGAGTGAAAGACAAAGACCATATGATCTCACTTATAAGAGGAATCTACTGAACAAAATTAAACTAGTGAGCAAAACAGAACCAGAGGCACGGAAACAAGGAACAGACTGACAGGTGCCAGAGAGGAAGGGGCAGCAGGGAATGGTGGAGAGACGAGGAAGGGACTAGGCAAGGAACATGCTCGAGTGACCCGTGCGCATGGCAGTGGCGTGGGGATTGCCTGGGGGCAGGAGGCGGGCTGGGTGGGTGGCAAAGGCAGACACGCTGGGACAACTGTAATAGAATAAACAAGAATAATTTAAATGGAGTAATTGTTGATAGCTGTATAGTTATTACCCATTGTTATTCATATTTTTATTCCTTTTTTTCCTTCTTCTTAAAGAAGGCCCTTTAACATTTCTTGTAGCACTGGTTTGGTGGTGATGAACTCCTTTAGCTTTTCCTTGTCTGGGAAACTATCTGGCCTTTGATTCTAAATGATCGCTTTGCTGGCTAATCTTGGTTGTAGGTCCCTGTTCTTCATCACTTTGAATTGTTCATGCCAATCTCTTCTGGTCTACAAAATTTCTCTTGAGAAATCAGTTGACAGTCTATGGGAGCTCCCTTGTAGGTAACTAACTGTTTTTCTCTTGCTGCTTTTAAGAGTCTCTCTTTGTCTTTAACCTTTTGCATTTTAATAATGTGTCTTGGTATGGACCTCTTTGGGTTCATCTTGTTTGGGACTCTCTGTGCTTCCTGGACTTGTATGTGTATTTTCTTCACCAGGTTAGTGAAGTTTTCTATCATTATTTTTCCAAATAGGGTTTCAATTTCTTGCTCTTTCTCCTCTCCTTCTGGCACCCCCATGATACAAACGCTGGTACACTGGAAGTTGACCCAGAGGCTCATTATACTATCCTCATTTTTTTTTTTTTGGTTCTTTTTTCTTTTTGCTGTTCTGAGTGGGTGTTTTCTGTTTCCTTATTTTCTAACTCTGCTTTACCTCCTCTACTGTTGCTTCCCTATAATGTATTCTTCATTTTAGTTACTGTATTATTTATTTCTGACTGGTTATTTTTAATGTTTTCCATCTCCATTTTATGTTTCCTGTCTCTTCATTGAATTTCTAACTGAGATCATTGAGAACATACTTTTAACCAGTGAAAACCATAATTTCTTAAGTATATGGGATCAAGAATAGCCTCCAGAAACAGCATGACATTGGAACGCCTTTGTGGTGTTCCGAGATTTAGAGTAATAGTAAAGAGGATACTGGGGAGCCTGCCTCGGAAGGCAGGACCTCCTTCCCCAGCCCCCTCCCTGAGGGCCCCCTGGCCCCTCGGGCGAGCCGCGGGCCCTGCCCTGACGTGGCACAGGCCTCACCGTTAGACTTCCCTTTCTTGGGTCCCCTGAATTCACCTCCTCATTCCTTCCACGCACGGGGACTCAGTATAACCAGCCTAGGGACCAGGAGCGCAGACTGTAGATTGGCGGGGTGGCGGGCGCCGGGTTCAGATCCTAGCACCGTCGTTTATTGGCCGACATTGCTAAACCTCCACTTTCTTATCTGTAAAATAGCTGCCTCGCAAAGCCGTGGCTGTCAGACGATGGGTTCCTTTCTTAAAATAATGCTTTACTGGGATATAATTCACATATCATAAAAGTTACCCTTTTAAACTGTATAACTCAGTGTTTTTTAGGTTTTTCAGAGTTGTGCGCCCAGTACCACTGCCAGGGCGTTTTCATCACCCCAAGAGAGGCCTATTAGCAATTTCCCGGGTCCCCTCCCCTAGCCTCTAGCAATCACTGTTCTCCTTTTCGTCTCCGTGGATTTGCCTGTTCTGGGCATTTCAGATGAGTGCAGTTATACGGTATGCGGCCTTTTGTGAATGACGTTTTTCACTCAGTATAACATTTTCCGTGTTCATCCACGCTGCTGTTGGCATCAGTACTTCATTCCCTTGCTTGCTGAATAGCATAGCAGTGTGGGTGTGTGTACTACATTTTGTGTGTCTAGCATCAGTTGATGGGCATTTGGGTTGTTTCCATTTTTTTGGCTATTATGGATAATTGTGGCAAATATTTCAGTAAACCATCCAGAAGGATGTCTCTGGGTCATGGACTTAATGTTTAATTTTTTTCTCTTTTTTCTACTTTTGTTTTATAACGAGCTCCTGTTACCTTTATAATCAGAAGAGAAGTTACTTTTTTAAAGCCTCCTAAGGCCCTGGCCAGGTGGCTCAGCGGGATATAGCGTCATCCCATACACCAAAGGTGCCGGGTTCAATTCCTGGTCAGGGCACATGCCGAGGTTGTGGGTTTGATCTCTTGCTGGAGTGTGCGCTGGAGGCGACTGATGGACGTTTCTCATGTCAATGTTTCTCTCTTTCTCTCCCTTTCTCTCCCTTTCTCCCTTCCTCTCTCTAAACTCAACAAGCATATCCTCCAGCAAGGATTTAAAAAAAAAAAAAGGCTCCTAACTCAAGTGAAATTTGCAGGGGAAGTCCAGGATACATTGTAGCCATTCACTCTAAAAAAACTCAATTGTGGAAAAGCTACCTTAAAGAATCACAAAGTAACATTGTGTCTATAGTTTAGATAGAGGCGTATTACAGTGTTTCTGTGTCTTTTATAAAATTCCCCTTGAAGACAGTATCAGTTATGTTGTGAGCTTTGCTCTAACCCTCCGCACAGAATTCCTTTTGCCCATTTGCTATAATTCTTTTTATTAGAGAGTGAAAGCTGTATAATTCATCACATTTCTCTCTTGGTATCAGCTGCTAGACATTTCAGAAATAAGTTTTATATGAATTGCAGTAATTACTAATATCCTGGTACAGGTTTCTGGTATAATTATTTACCCTCTTTCTTTACATTTTTACCATTTAAAAAACTTTAAAAATTGTTTCTTTTGAGTCTGGCTTTTTATTATAAGCTGCCTCCATTCCTTTTAGGAAGTAACCAAAGTATAGGGAATAAAATACATCTTAGGAGTATGTTAGCGGTGCTACTACACACCCACCAGAATGGCTACAATGAAACAGACGAGGAAATGCCGGCACCGGCAAGGGTGTGAGGCCCTCGAAGCGCCCCTGCCCGGCTGGCCAGGGTGTGAGCTGGCCTGGTGGAGGTGGATTGGCCCAAATACGCACATCAGACCCACGTCTGCACGGTCGCGTCTCGGCGTGCAGTCCTCAGCTGGCAGGCGGCAGGCTGCTCAGCGGCCCGGTGAGCGCACAGGCCGCAGCACGTTCCTT